ATATCATCTCCTGCCTTTAAGAAATCTGTACTTCCAAACTCTGTTATTACGCTAAGCTGCCTATTCTTATATAACTCTATTATTATCTCAATTATTTTTACTGGGATTTTAATTTTTTTTAAAATATCTTGAAACGTCACCCAGAGCTCTTTTTTTTTTTCTACTGCTTCTTCTATTATATTGTTCATAATATGTATAGGAGTCGATATACTTTCCCCAGACAAGCCTGCGAAGTTTGCTTCTTTCAATATACTATTTTTGCTTAGTACTTTGTCTAGTCTAATTTGAAGCATTCATGTTAAAATTTTTCTACATGTTTCAAGTAATACTATGGGTCTCGTATTGCTTAGATTGTATTCTCAAGAGCTATTTTTTGGAATTAATTAATAATCCACCACTTAACAGGTGCATGCTATTAGTATAACGTGATGCAGTTTACTATGTAAATCTATTATAATGCAAATGTGGCGATCCTCCAAGTAAAACTTTTTTCTTACTAAGTTAATTAATCGACAAGATTAATTAACTTAGTAAGAAAAAAGTTTTACTTGGGGGATCGCCACATTTGCATCATAATAGATTTACATAGTAAACTGCATCATGTTATACTAATAGCATGCACCTGTTGAGTGGCGGATCATCAATTAAATATATCTAACCAAGTTTCTACTTGTCTGGAATCTTGCTTTGTTCGAGGATTATATTCATTAATGCTAATATTTTCTCAATTATTCTGGGTGGTAATTTTTTAAAAAGAATATAGCCAATATTTGAGATTCCTGATACTGTATCATTTCTAGTTTTGCTCAGAGCTCGTGTCCATTCTTCTAGTGTAAGGGGGTCTGTTATTTCCTTATATATTGAAGGATCAATCTCTTTTTTTGGCTTGTATTCTTCTTTCTATTCTGCTTTCATCTCTTTAAAATTTTGATTCTTTTTCCTAAATTGTTCTTTAAAGTAAGAGATTACTTGCCATTTTATTCCTTCTTCATCATTGATTAATTCCAGATTGTAAACTCTAGAATTCTTCCCTACTAGCACTCTGTCTATCGTAACTTTGTTATATAATCTATTCAGTAGACTCTGAAGCATTTTCTTTTTATTTTTTTCCATTATACCAAATTTCAATTCTATTTTCTCTCGAATAATATAGAAACTTAACTTTTTTATAGATTTCTGACTTTGGGATTGACTTTTTTTCCTGAGCTTCAGTTTTCTTGACATTAACCCAAAGTATATGTTCTAATACTGCACTCATTATTGCACTACTAATATTGTCTTATTCAATATTAATATCTATATATTTATTATAAGAAGTTTTCACATTTCTATCTTGACCTTTTGTGAAAAGAAGGCACTCTACACACATACTATAAGCCTCCCAGTCTTCTAATGATGCATTATAATATAAGAAAACTCTTCTAGTTGGTTTTTCTTGATTTCTTCTACTAAGTTTTCCATATTCAAGTATTTTACTTAATTCTAACTTTGCACATGTCATTTTGTAGTCACTACCTGTTACTAGATTAATGTCTTTAATTGAAATCTCACTAAGAAATTCTCTCATCTCTTCTCCAATCCATATATAGTCAATTCTCGAGGCTATCTCATCTTTTTGCCAGATATATTCTTTTTTATGCGGGTTTAGATACCTATATGAGTCTACCAACTCTCTACTTTTAAGCCATTCAAGTAGAGTTTTCCCAAGCCCTTGATTTTTACAACCTGTATTACTGGTATCTAATCTTGTATTACATATTGCATTAAAATTTCTGAGTATGTTTATGTATGTGTCTATCTTGTTCTTGTATATTTCTTGTACTACTATATGTTGCACCTCCTTATTAATTTTTTTATTCGCTAGTGGCAGATATATTACCCATATTTGTATAATCGCTTTCTTGAAGAAAAACTCTAACTTTATTGTATATGGATTGTATTTTCTGACTATGGCTAAATGTTTGGACCAATTTTTACTAACTAAAGCCCCTACTCCTGACCCTTTTAATTTATCTACTTTTTTCGTTGACTAGAAGCTAAAATATCTAAATTCCTCTACATCTATCCATCTACCTTCTTCTTCATTTATATTAGTTTTTGCTATCCCGATGATGTCTAAACTCTCTTCTTTATTTAAAGCTGCTAAATTTCTTAATTTTTGCCTATTTAACTTTAAACCATTTATATTATGAAACTCTAAACTAAGCTGCTCGTAATTATTAATCTTATTTTTTCTATTTAGATCCTCACATTGTTCTTGTGTTTTGGGCTCTCTTGAAACAGAAGTGAGGATTTTTGCCATGCCTATATGAGTTGATTCGCCCATAGTGCCTTTCAGGAGTGCATTGCAATTATATACTTTATTGTTTTAAACTTTTGCTTCATTTCTGCAAGAATTTCCTCTAACTCACTTGTTTCTTGCCTTTCAATTTTCTTTTCTTTTCAATCAGCAATTGGCAAACTGTTTGAACCTGTTGCAAGTTTTGTTTTCTGAGATAAATTTATACTATTTATATTGGAAAGAGGCTTTTTGGTATTACTTCTAGCTCATATGCTACTCTTTTTACTATTCATAAACACTCTATCAGTATGAATAATCTTGTTTGGGCTTTGATTTCTATTTGTCTTGTTGTTACTAGATGATCTCTTTCTTTTAAGGTTTTGTCTATAATATATTTCTTGATTTTTAAAGTGTTGACTATTGTAAGTTTCACTTGTTTTAGTTATGTCTCGGTTTTCTTTAGAGCTAATATCTTTGGCTACTTCATAGTGTTCGTTTTCGCTCTATTCTAACCTGTTATAAAAGTAATATAGTACTGAAGCCTTTGCTGTCTTGAGGTCCTCTAATGACTCAAAATAAACTAGAGCATTTCTGCTTGGGTTATTATTTCTATTAGTAAGCTTAAACATCATCTTAGCTTTGAACCTTCTTAGTTGTCTAAGCAGAACCGACTCAAGTGCCAAATTAGGAATCTTTCTAAATATCAATCTATACTCTTTTCTTATTTTTAGTTTCTTAATATTGAATCTACTTGCTGTAATTCTGCTTGTCTTGCCTTCTTCAAAATGTATAGCCCACGTAAATTTAGTTTTTGCTCTTTATTTCTGCATATGATTTTTATGTATGCTGCTACCGATCTTTTTAAAGTGCACTATTCTAATAGTTCTACTCTTCCAAAACAATAAAAACATCTTTTGATTCTTGCTAAATTTACTCCAAAGGGCAAGTCCCAAATTGTAAGGTATAACCCTAGATTCCTTTTCTCTTTATAATATTTAGCTTTATTTACTAAATGCTTGTTTTGGGCTAACATATTTTCAGATGACCATACCGAGCTATATATATCTTTTCTTTCTTGTACTTCTTTTTTAACATTGGTGTGTTTTTTTACATTTTGCTTTTTTGCATTAGTTATTTGCTGTTTTGTCTCTATATTCATATCATTAAAGCTTTTAGCTAGAGATATTAGTTTTGCTATATCCTCTGTACCATGATCAGATATTCCGCTTTCCAAAAAGATTAATGAAAATTTGTAATTATCTTTATGGTTCTGACATTGCATTAGCAATTCCTTATCACTTTCATTGAAGTTTAATTCTGCATTTTTGATATACATAATTTATTTCTTTCTTTTTTGCAGCTATGTTGTCTTGAGTATCTTCATTGTGTACTCTCTTTCTAAGTATCAAGATTGGAGATTTTGTGTCTACATTCATTTCTGTGTATTGGTCCATAATGTGATTGGAAATAGTTTCTATTAGCACTTCACCTATAAGTTGTGCTTCTACTTCTGATATTTCTTTTCTATTGCTTTTTTTCTCTTGGATCTATTTATAGCTATCTAGTAGCCCTCGTATTATACCAATTTGTTCTGGGTGAGATGCATCCATGAAACTTGCTATATCTCTATCTATCTTGAGGGTTAATAATTTTTGTTCTTTGTAAACTTTCTCCATTTGTTTTTCTAGGTTGTTAAAAAATTTCTTTAAGTCTGCTATTCTAGTCATTTTTGCCTTGACGTCTCTATGATCTACTATGCGACTAATTTGTGTTGGTTGTTTGTCTAATCGTTTGTTTACTTACAGATTTGTTTGTTTGTCTATACTAAAAAGGACACATGTCACTGTTTGTTGTTTGTTGTTTTGGTGTAATGATTAGTAATCTGTTTGTTAGAAGTTTGCTAAATTTCCACTTTTTGTATCAAAAGTTGTAAAAATTTTGTAAAGTTCTTATTTGTCGCAGAATTTACTAATAAAATATACTGCTTGCTTCTAAGATAGTTTCTTTGTTTTATTTAAAGGTTTCTTTTTTCCTAGAAGAGTTTTAGCCATTTATTAACTTGTTTTTGTAAAATTTGATGTTTTTTCCTAATTCTAAATTTGGAACAGAGGATCAGTGAAATCTTTGTATATTATAAATCAATAAAAGTTTTAATAAACAACAAAAAAAGTTTCTAATATCTTTAGAAAATATTTTTGGCTGTAAAGTATGCAAAGTCTTTTGTCAAAATAAATACATAAATAAAAATATTGTTAAATTATTAGGGAATATTATTGTAGTACTATGGTGTCGTGGCACTATAGTGCCATAGTGCTACTCTTATGTAATAAGTTTATTAAATAAAATAATCTTAATATTGATGAACATAGTGCCACAATGCTACCCTTATGTAATTCATTAAATAGACTCGACATAAATGATATAATTAATTTAATCAACTATATAAAAAAATTTTTTTCTTACTTGCATTTGACTTTTTACTTAATTTCTTACTCAATTGTTCAATTACGTTTATCATGTCGCTTACACTTGATTGTTGTGTTACTTTATTTGTCTTATCCATACTTGTCAAAATTTTTTTCTTATTTGTACTTGACCTTTTATTCATCTATATTAGAATTTTTTTTTGCTACATTGCTTACACTTAATCATCGAATTACCTTATCTTTTGCCTTGTTAATTTACCTACACTTGATCTTACTTTATTTGTACCTAAACTATGGAAGAATATGTTGTTAATGATAATGCGCTATATGAATTTGTTGTACCTGATAATACATTATACAATAATATTCAGGGCGATTTTGCTATTAATAGTATCCTATATAATGACCAAAGTAAACTTGATATTATTAGAGATTTTTTAAATGACAGTGATCAAGATAAGCATGAAGGCGGAAATATAATAAATTATGAAAGTGCTAAATATGAAAGTCTTATAGCATATGACTATTATTATTTAATAGATGAAGGTGCTCAAGAATTACGAGATAATAAGATATTCTCTAATTGGGATCATGCGATGAAGGAAGTCGAAAAGTATAGAAGTAAGCAAGGATTCAAAATTCATTGTTATCGTGTTGAAAGGTCTAATAATATAATTAAAAGGCGTATATTAGTTTGTGAACACTTTGGTTAGCCCGAGGCAACAAAAAGTAAAGATAAAAAAAAAGAAACGACTTCTAAGTGTGTTGGATATATATGGCAAATAAACCTTTCATGTTTGAAAAAAAACAATCCTTACAAGGTCGTCTATGTTATAAAATTAATTGATGAGCATAAGAATCATACTCTTGATCGCGCATATTATGATTTTCAGGAAAGCTTAGAGTTTATAGTAGATATGATAAAGGATGTTGAATTTTATATTACCAAAATGAATTGTAGTTCTCAACAAATTCGTAAAGCTCTTAAGGAAAAGTATTCTGTAAAGATTTACATGCCAGTATTATATCGGGTAATTCGTATACATGCCACACAAACTACAAATCTTTAAAATCCCACTCAAACCCAAATCCCATGTGGAAAAATCCCAAATCCCA